GAACATCCCTGTATATACCTTCCCTACTGACCCACCCAGAAAGACCAGGTACTTCTGAGTTGTTTGTGCCTGTGTGTTTGTGGAGACGCACACAACTTACTGTGACACACAAGGATGGCTCCTTAGGGCTCTGAAAGGGAAAGCACACACAATTGTGGCTCCATTGGACCCTACAAGGGAAAGCACACACAAGGATAGCTCAATAGGACCCTACAAGAGCACACACACGGGTGGCTCCAGAGGGCCCTCTAAGGGATAGCTCAATAGGACCGTACAAGAGCACACACAACGGTGGCCCCAGAGGGCCCCTGTAAGGATAGCTCAATAGGACCGTACAAGAGCACACACAAGGGTGGCCCCAGAGGGCCCCTGTAAGGGATAGCTCAATAGGACCGTACAAGCGCACACACACGGGTGGCTCCAGAGGGCCCTCTAAGGGATAGCTCAATAGGACCGTACAAGAGCACACACAACGGTGGCCCCAGAGGGCCCCTGTAAGGATAGCTCAATAGGACCGTACAAGAGCACACACAAGGGTGGCTCCAGAGGGCCCTGGAAGGGATAGCTCAATAGGGACCGTACAAGCGCACACACAAGGGTGGCTCCAGATGGCCCCTGTAAGGGATAGCTCAATAGGACCGTACAAGAGCACATACAAGGGTGGCTCCAGAGGGCCCTGGAAGGGAAAGGAGACACAGGATATCGGGGTCAGGAGAACAGCTGATTCTGCTGACATTTTATAAACCTCAAGGAGCGGCTTCCATTGTAGGCGATTTTAATCAGAATCTGGAATCGCTTAAAAACGTTTTGATTTTCAGAAGTGGTCCCTTTATCATTTCCCAAGCTTTGTGTAATGAGAGTGTCGATCATTCTGCTGTTCACGTTTCTCTAGAACTAATATTCATCATTTTTTTTTAACTCTTTCATTTCATTAGGTTATAGTGCAGCCGCCGGTCAGGACTACTCTTCACCCTTCACCATACTAGTTGCTCTTAGGGCTGCATTCTGATAGGCTGCATGTACAATTGTTTACATTTTATTTCAGTGAAATCAGCCACAACATGGTGACAACCTTCTCCGTCTCCGAAGATGGATTAGAGTTATGTGGTCATACGGGATTCCTAAAGCTCACTTTAGCTCCACTTTGCTCAGTGAGTCCAAATATGACCGCGCAGTCCAATGGGCACCGGCGTCTGACCAATGCACTCTAAAAGGGAAGGGCAAGCGAAGGAAAAGGTAGTAACTGTGCGGATGGGTGGTGATATTTGGTTCATATTTTCACTCCCTGTGCGCCAAAAATTTCAGGTCCGTAATATTCATTATAACGTTCTGTAGATGCTGATGTAGAACTTGCCAGTATCTTCTACAAGACCACTTAGTGGGAGGGTCTGCTTCCTCTATAGTCACATGATTGGCGTTGGTGCTATAAAAAGGAAAGCTCCGGCCCCAGTACTTTGTATACAGGCTCTTTGAAACCGTGTCTCCAAAAATGAAATGTCTGCTACAGGTGCTGCCTGAAACTTGTCTCCAGGCTCTATGCAGACGTCTCGGAAAAGTATTCGGCCAATAGAAAGATGTTTACTCTGGAAGGGAATGTTACAAGGAAATAGCTGGCTTCAGAATGGAATGGAGGGGAGTTTTGAATAACATTAAAGGAGAACTATGGGGGCAACCTTCTTTTGGCCATAGTTCTCTCCAGGGTCACAGGACGACGTATACTTCTATCCTCCCGTGACCCAAAACTCAGCATATAGCGAGCTATTGCCTGCTATATGCTGAGAGCCCAGAGCCGCGCCACAGCTGGGATGGATCCTGACAGTATTGTTGAGATCCACCTGCTGCCTGATTGACGGCTGGCTCTGCCTATCTAGAGCCAGCTCTGCCCGCCCCCTCCCCTGTACATCTCTCCAGTCAGCGCTGGAGGATTGCAGAGGGGAGGGGGGGAATCCCTGCAGAGAGCGGCGACTGATAGTCACCGCTCTCTGCATGGAGAAGATCGGGAAGTGAGTGATCGGCAGAAGTTGTTCACTGACCGATCAATCGGTGTCACAGGCCGGCTTGAATTATGGGGATTAGTTTTTCACTCACCCCATTATTCTCCTTTACGTTTACAATATGGCCCGGGTATCAGCTCTATAAGTTTTATTTCAAATTGAACCCCTGGCAGATGGTTATATACACAGATAAAACACAAAGAGTTCTGTCCATTCATTCCTGAGATGCACAAGACAAGAAGACCTGATTTTTCTTTTCTGCAGTTATGCAACACTCACAGTTCTCCCCCAGCCAGAAACTGCACAGTAAAAGGAAAGGCAGCAGACTGATGCTGAGCTCATCTCTCTCTTTCTCTGTCCGTCTGCTCTCTTCTCCTATCAGCATGCTCTTTTGTTAGCATGTGAGAACTGCAGCACAGCTGACGGCCTCTTTGTGCTGCTTCCCTATTTCCCAGTCTGTGCTCTGCTGTACAGGGACTTGCAAGCAGGCGATGCCAAGTCGACTTCAGTTACTTACACTGGTTGAATTTCAGTAAAACACATTTTAATAATAAATACAGAGCTGTGTTGATTTGTGTCTTTTTTATATTTGCCTGTAGTTCAGCGTTTGTTACACGTTTCTACAAGTATTCATGACAAATAAATGTTTTTATCTTCTTTTTACTGCCCTCTGTCCCTTTTAAAGAAGTGCCTGTAGAGAGAGACTGTGGGGGAGGGGGGGGGGCTGTCATCGCCGACCTCGCATGCTGGAAATGCTGGTTTCACCACAGCTGGGGTGCTAAGGTTGCCCACCCGTGACATACACTGTACGGCCAAATGTTTGTAGATAGCTTGTTGGTCATCCCGTTCCAAAACCATACGCTTTATTATGTCCACCCGCCAACAGCCTCATTCTTCCAGGAAAGCTTTCCACAAGATTTTGACGTACATCAGCTGCAGTTGGTGCCCATTTAGCCAAAACACTTGTTGTTCGGGCCAAGTATGAGAAGACCTGGCTCCCAATCCATCAACAAGGTGTTCAGTAGTGTGGAGGTCAGGGCCCTGTGGAGCAGGGGCGTCCCGATGCCGGGTGTCGCCCAGAGCGGAGTCCGGGTGACACCCCT